CATGGGACAGTTTTGGAGAGAGATCGGCCGGAAGGCGTCCGGGGACCAAGAGTGCTCGGTTTAAGCCGTCAAGATCGACATCCCCACGCTGAAAGGCGTGGGAGAAGGAGAGGAGATCGTGCCTAGTCTCATGCCACAGGGACCGGTAGAACGCGGGTCCAAAGCCGTCAGGGCCTGGACTTGAATTGACGTTCATGGCGAAGAGGGCAGCAGAGAGCTCATCTAGCGTGAAGGGGGCGCAAAGAGCAGCATCATTGACAGTGAAAGAGGGATAAAGGTCGGTGAGGGTGAAGCCCCAAGTAGGCGTGTGGGTCTGACCGAGGAGGTTAGAGTAAAAATTAAGGAGTAACGTGCTCTTTTGCGGCATGATTCGTGTGGAGGTGACCGGAATCGTCCAGCAGTTCGGGAATGGCGTTGCGCCGCTTGCGCCCGGAGGGCGGAGGCCGAGGCATGGAAGAATCGAGAGTTTTCGTCCCACTCGAAGGCGAGTTTGACGGAAAATCGTTTGCCGCCAATAGGTGAGCTTTTCATGGTTGACGGTGTGTAGGGCGGCGGACGCACAATCTCTGAGGAGGGACTCAGAAGAGTGGAGAGGGCGGCACTCCTCAAGCAGGTCAAGAGCATCGATCAGGAGGCGGGTGTCTGTTTCGCGTTGGTCAGGGGAGCGGGTACGCTTAGACCAAGCGCGACAGCTGCGGCGGCAGGCTTTGATGCGCCCGCAAAGGGAGGGGGGCACGGAGGCAGTGGGGGAGCCGGGAGCCGGACCAGGACGTGGTCACCATTGCCCTGAACCCGCGCTGTGTAAGCCAAAAACGTTCGAAACGAAAACAGTGGCTTTTTGGGAGCCTAGTAGATATATTGGCCAGAAGCGGGACGTGATCGGAGGCGACGCGAGTCCGTACGGTGAGGGAGGTGTTGGGGAACGCCCGATCCCAGGAGTCGTTAACGAAGACTCGATCTAAGCGGACGAGGGTGGGGCATTCACGCCGGCTGGACCAGGTGAACTGACGGCCAAGGAGAGGGATTTCAATAAGGGCGAGAGCGTGAATGGTGTCGTTGAACCAACCGGCCTCGTCGGCGTCGAAGGCGTCAATGTTCTTCTCATCGGGGGGGGCAAGGAGGGCCAAGATCACGGAGGAAGGCAGGTTTATCCGCCCGGACAGCGGGGGCGTAGACGCAGGTGCAGGTGAAAGCGAAGCCATCATCCTTGAGGGAGAGGTCAGCAGAAACAGAGTAATCGCTACGAGAAGAGAGAGGGCGAACAGAGAGGGGTCCCAGGCCAGGAGGACGCCGCCCGCGGCACCGACGGCATCCTTGGCGAGGAAAGCCGAGAGCCTGGATGGAAGGAAGGAGCGAGTTTTGGAAGGGGTGAGGGAGGAAAGTTTAGTTTCTTGGAGCCCGACGATGGACGGAGAAGCGCTGATTATCTCCATCAGGACGTCCTCGCACTTGTCGTCTTGGCCGAGACCGCGGACGTTCCACGAGAGGAGCGAGATCGATTTATGCATAAGAAGAGCGAGGCACCAAATAACACAAACAGGACTCGATCGACGGCACGAACAAGGGATGGTGTACAGCACAAGGGCCACCATGAAGCCCGGACACAGAGGGAACAATGGGTAAGGGGGTGAACATGGCACAGGAGCCACCCCGGAGCTCAGACACAACTACAGGAAAATAAAACAAGTGCCCTAAAGGCAACAGACGGCTGCAGAGGAGGCGCCCGGACGCAGGGGGCCGCAGCCGGAGACGAGTGGGCGGCATCACGCGACGGAGGGGGCACCGAGGGGCGCGCTCGCGGCGAGGTCAATGCCGCAGACGCGCGCCAGGCGACGGAGGCGCGCAGAGGGAACGCGTGCCGGAGGGGGGCGTTCCAGGACGCCGGAGGCCTCCAGGGCGGCTACCATGACGGAGGAGGCCTTGGAGATGTCGAGCTTGGCCGGCTGGACGCGGGAGGCCTTGGTGACGGCGTCCTCGTAGAAGGGGTTCTCCTTCGCGGCGAGGCGGCGGCTCCGGCGAATCTTCGCTGTTCCTATTTCCTTTTTTTTTTTTTTTTTTTTTTTTTCTTTCAGCCCGTTCGCTCGTGGTTTCAGCCAACCCAAATCAACCAGCCAATAGTGTTTTTCTCTCACAATAAATCAGGATCAGCCAGTCCAAAAACCAACCAGCAAACAAGGGTGTCTGAACACATTTTGGGTCTAAGCCTCTTAGGCTACTGCTCAGCTCATGGGAGTCAAGCATTTTTTATGTTGGACAGACAGTTGCTTCGTATGCACTGAATCATGCAGTCAGTTTTCAAAGTTAGGTGGTGTTTGGTTGGAGCTCCTAAATTTTAATCGCTGTCTCATCGAATGTTTAGATATATGCATAGAGTATTAAATATAGATTAATTACAAAACTAATTACATAGTTTGTGACTAATTTACGAGACGAATCTTTTAAGTCTAATTGGGTCATGATTTGACAATGTTTTGCTACAGTGAACATATGCTAATGACGGATTAATTAGGTTTAAAAAATTCGTCTCGTGGAGTACTAACGGATTATGTAATTTGTTTTTTTATTAGTATCCGAACACCCCATACAACGTTCTCCCGACACACCTCCTAAATTTTAGTCGCTGAAATCAAACACCACCTTATTGCTTCAAACCCCACCCCACCCCCTCTTTTTTTGGTATTCACTTAACAAGTCAGGTTGGTTGGAAGTTGGCTTTTGAAAAATATTTCAATATGTAAAAGGGGTTTACTGGAGATGATATGTGCTCACTAAATGAATTTATGCAGGTTGGCATGATGCTGCGGGGCATGGGATTCGACAATACAACCTCCCTATATGTTGCTTTGGGTAAATATACAACTCTGAAAAATATATGGATCCTCTTCGCCAGATGTTCCCTCCTTTAACAACGAAGGATTCTCTTGCTTCGCCTGAAGAACTTGCTCAGTTTAAGGTATTTCTTGCACCAGCACTCATATGCATGCATGATGGTGTTACATTTACTACATAAAAATTTGGAACCATTTGATGTTCAAAAGTATCTGTTTTGGTGAGGACTGAAGGTAGATTAAAAACTGATGTTTCATTTGATGGATTATGTTATTTCCAACTCACCGACCAATTCGCTATAGGGGCACTCGTCTCAGCTAGCAGCGTTAGATTACACTGTCTGTGTTCAGAGCGAAGTGTTTGTGACAACTCAAGGGGGAACTTCCCTCACTTTCTGATGGGGCACAGGCGCTACCTGTTTGGGGGGAATGCGAAGACAATAAAACCAGACAAGCGGAAGCTGGTCTTATCTTTTGTAATCAATCAGTCTGTCACTTGTTGCTAGTTACAGTCAAATCACACAGAACAATTTTCATCTTTGATTCCATTCAGATGATAATTCTTTGCTAAAGCAACTGCTTAAAACAATATGTTTTGACCAATGGTCCACTTGGGCTGTTGTTCCTTACCTAATAACCAACTGCTTTAAGGAATATATTTTTCCACCCACCCATCTGAACTGATGCCTGAATTTTTTACACCAGATGCCTTTTGTAGCTTTTACATACTTCTCTGAATATATAGTCCAGTCAACAAAATGTAATGTACTTTATTTGGCCTTCGAATTTATGGCTCGCATAATTTGCTTAGAAGTGTATTATTTAAATGGTTTTTTTTTAAAAAAATCATTTTGCGATTTCAGATGGGATCATTTCAAGCAGAACATGCAGGAAATACTGCATCACAGCGACATGAGGAGCATTGCATTCAGGAAACCAAATGATTCGGTGTACACGTTCCCAATGCCTGATTGCATGTGTCAGCAAGATGGGATGATATAGGCCTAACGACAGCATAAATACGAGGGAAATCCTTTTGTGTTTTGGTTTTGAGACTGATACCATACAGTTAGGTAGGCATAGGCAGGTATCTTGTTCTTGTACATTCATAACCTGTAGGTAGTGTCACCATATTATGCTAGCAAGACTGACCAAGTATTCACTGATTCATGTTGGTTCCACTACTCTAGGGTGGTCTATAGAGGAGATACAGTTGGGGGTTGGGTTGTGGGCTGTGGATGTTGAATTCCAGCACACTTGACTTGAGAGAGGGCTTCCGACAAAGTGAGACCCTACCTTACTCCATAATTGTATATATGTAATGGGGATGCCTAACTACAAATGGGGGAAATACTTTCTGATATAAGATACTCCGTAGCATGGAGTTTACTTGTTCTTACACTACACTTCATCTTGTTCCTGGAATCTTGGCAGTTCCCTGTATTGTTTCTGCAGATGCTGCTCTTGGGCAACGGCTCATCATATAAACTTGAGTAATTGTTGTTATATTTCACGGTACAGGATTCTGTATTGTACATTTACTGCTGCTTCTTATACATATAGCCATAGGTATTAATTCAATAGAGAAGGAAATAAAGTGTCTTTTTTCTCTGAATGGCATCGTCTTCCCTCGGTACGCGGCAGACATATTATGCTTATCCGGTCTGATGTAAATTCAGACACTTTGAGGCCATGAGAGCCGCCATCTGCACTCAATTTGATCTGGAAGTACATACAGACCGTAGAATTTGCTTCAATATGAAGAAACAGGAACCGGCAACACATCTCATATGCAAAAAAAAAAACATTCGTATTTTGTTTGTTTATTTATTTATTTATTGAAAAACAACAGAAACAAGGGTGGGGAATCCACAAATGTAGAAGTTATCAAAACTCCAACGAGTTTGACCCTCTGAATGACTCCCTCCCTCCCTCCCTATATGTACAAATGGGGTAGTGAGAATCATCTACTACGCACAGTACTGTATATGTCTCCCCTATGGCAATGGCAATGGCAATTGCAATGCAGTGCCATCCAGGCACAAGCCGCAACCACCCATGGCCTCCGCGTCGTCATAGGTCAGTCACATAGCCCAACAGAAAGGCCCCTGTATGTTAGCTGCTCAGGATCCCTAGCTGCTCTAATATTCTTCCTGGTCCTGGGAATGCTAGCTAGAAGGGCCACCAGCTTTTCTTTTTGTTCTCCAAAACCAGCAACTCTGCAGCAACAGATAATAATGATGAAATCAAACAGTCAACAAACATGGTCAACATACTAAATGCTGACATCTAATACCTCCTTCCGGATATATGGAGGTGTAGTGCACCTCAGCCCAAAAACTCAAGCATATAACTGCACGAAAAAACTCCAGAGTTTAGATAGCCAAAACATGCTCACTTCTGCTCATCAACAAAAGCAACCATGGATAAATATGCCCAAGAAAAAAAAAATAACTTTGCTTAGGCAAACAAAACTCAAATTTTGATGTGAGGGCAAGCACCTAAGTTTCACATGAAGTCGATAAAATATTTGTTGAATCTAGACATCTAGTATATAAAAACTCAATAACAATCATATTAGAAAACAAGCATTACCTCTTCTGGATTTCTCAACAACAGGAAGAATCTCAATGTAACATGTATCTCTGAATGATGTCAGAATGAAGATCTTTACACCGTACTGCAAAAGCCAGTGCATGCACTTGAGTTTCATATCATATATACACAAATACAATAAAAAGACCAATAGTATACTACGATCCCAGTAGTATACTATGATCCCAGTCCAAGAAAAATAAAAGACAGGCAGACTGAAAAAATTTTGTCCAATGAAAGAAATTCTAATATACTCCTAGTTCTCATACTAGGGCACCAGCCATGCAATGCAATTCTGACAACGCCGACCAATCAGCTTGCAAACCCATAACAGAGACAGCATGCTAGCAGAAGAAACCAAATTGTAGAAAATATAGTTGAAACAACAGGATTGTTGGACAGAAAGATCAACCAATTGCAGAAACAGCAACTGTAACATCATCACTAGTTTAACTTTAATCTTATTTGCTGATTGTGCCTGCATTGAAAATAAAAGATGTATATGCTGACCACTTATTTGCGAGCTTCGCTTTCAGTGACGATTTTTTCTTTTTGTAATTTTGTGTGCACTTGTGTACTTTGTATCGTTTTTTACCCTATCATAATTGATTAGGCGGAGCTCCTGCCTCTTCCAAATATAACAAGGTATGTTAACCACTGAAGCCAGATTCATTAGCCACTAATGGCAGTGGCACTTGTGAAAGTGGAGGATTTACTTGGTACCTTTACCAAATATATAATGTCAGACGTACATTAACACAACAACAAAAAGGTCAAGAACAAAAAGTTTACCGTGTCTGCAGCAGCCTGCAATGTAACATGGTCACCCCACTCTCCGCTCCTGATTTGATTGTTTAAGCAAAACAAAATGAGGACGTACATTTAGATTATTATAACTTAACATTTGATTATAAATAGAGAGCAGAAGAAATACTCACTTTGACATTTTTCCGAGATAGTCCCTGTAATCCATAGGGACATATCCTGCATAAATCTCAGGATGCGATTCAAGCTGCCATGTGCCAGCAATTTGAAGGGGTTTAGAGGGAATACATAGAAATCCAAAAACAAAGAACGACAAGAATGTGCAAGAAGGGGAGAAAATACTGGGATGAAGCATGGTAGTAGATATTTACCAATGAAATGCATTTGCATACAGAAGTTCATATATGGTTGAAATTAACTAGTCTTTTCAGAAATACTAACCTGCTTCACCACTTGTTGCCGAACAAGTCTGTGATGTTCAGGAGTTTGGTAAAATTGATCTGATAGCGCTCGAAACTATTTAATAGACCACACAATACAAATAGATACTGTGAGATGGCATCACGGAAAAGCGGGAAAATGGTGGATCCTTTACACAAACCTGGCAATCACCATCTCCTTTAACCTTGAGATCAACCAAACCATACAGAACCAACCTGTTGAAAAGAAAGAAATTACATTTCAGTCAAATGACAAAAATATTACAATACTGACACGGCATAGGTTATTTATGAGTCATTAAGAAATTATTCTATCCACTGGCAGCATCAATTTGTGTTGGTAACATCTTTTAAATGTTTCATATGCTACTATGGCACATCGGCTCTGTTATGACTGTCTGACACATATACTCTAAACTTCGGTTTACCTACCTGTCAAGAAGTCTTTGATGATCTGAAATGGCTTCATCAACAGAAGGAATCTCTCCATTTATTTTAGGAACATGCGGTGACAGCAAAAGGAAAAGATTATCAAAACCCTCACGGTAAGCCTTGAGAATGCAGATAGTGGTAGATGTAACTTGCATGTTGAAAAAGCGAAGTGACTGATAGTACTTACAGGAACAGGAACAGGAACCATGTTGTTCAACCTAGGACGGCGCGTGGGCGAAGCCATTGCTGCGTGAGAACAGCGGAATGTTGTTGGTCGTCAGAGGCGCTGGTTGCCCCGGATGCTTCGGCGAGGGCGACATGGGACAACTCTTCCTGAAGGGCCTCCGCGATGACCTCGTCGTTGTCAACCGCATCGACATGCTCAACCTTGATCTCGACGGAGTTTGAGCTACCCATGTCGTCTCCGGTGGGCGACGATGAAGAGGGCGAACAAAGGCTGTACAAGGTGTGGTAGGGGTGGTTTGGGTGCGATCATGAACAGAGTAGCCAGCGGAGGAGGCGGGGAGGAGATGGTGAAGACCCCCAAAATAGCGACCTGACCCCGTGGTATCATTCCAACCTTCTTTTATAAAGACATTGCATGAGCGTCCGTGTCTTTGACATCAACGCAGCAACGATGGAAAGATCTCTAATCCTTTTGTGTTACTAAACATCAAAGTTCTGGTGACCACGTAAATTCTGTCAAATCTGAGTATATGATCAATTCGTGATTCTATATATACATATATGCTTTTTTTTATATTTAATTCTGGATAAAATAACTGTCTCGTGGCAACACGCGGGGTCCTAACTGGTTTACTAGATAGACGGATATATGTTCACGTTAGAGCTCTACAATGTAATTATTTTTATAAATTAAAAAAAATACTTCCCATTACTAAATACCTCCATGTTTTACTTTCACTATGCCTGTGTTTTACTTTGTTACTTTCATCTACCTTATCGTTTTACTTTATTACTTTCATCTACCTTATCACGAGAGGTTTTACTAGCCTCCCGTCTCATTGACTGAGCTGATGTCATTTGCGGATGTTGATGCCAACTATGACAAGGAATGTCACATAAAACATGACAATATAAAAAACCAGACATCGAATTAGTTGGACATAATGAGTACTACTAGTAGCAGTGCATGCTATTACTCAATATGGCACCAAATAATTTAATATACGATACAAACGCAGACTTCGGACACAAACAAGACTCCTGGTACTTCTACCATCTCAAACTACAAATAATATGAAGATTTTAAGACTAATAGAGCATATATTTAATTCCATTTATGTAAGTGTATTCCTTCTCGTGGGATATCTTCATGCGCCCAAATTTGGATTTGACCAGCAGCATCAGCATCAGCATCATCATCATCATCATCATCAGATTTATCATCATCCAAAAACTCAGGATGACGCCAGTGTGGCAAGGGCACAGGCCACCTGTAGTTCAATTGAATAAAATAATTTATGTCTAGAACTTGAACCCAGCTTAATATATTTTCAATGTGCATAAGAATATCTACCTGTTTAACACAGTTTTGTCTCCAGGCAGTTTATCACTATCATTGCCATCTTCACCAAGTTTACTGTCAAACACATATATACCAGTAAAACGATTTATGCTTCACTCAACCTAGTTCATCAACTTTTTTAAAATGATACATACAAAATAACATTATGATGTGCACAGAATACCTTTTCTCAAACATTGCTAGAATTGTGCTAATGTTCTCCCATCCCAGAAAAGGGGTTCCTATTCTCTTATCATAGAAGTTCATGCCAACAACGTCCCCATGAAGATTAACAAGTGGGCCTCCAATCCCAGCCTAGCAAGGTGGAATGGACAAGTTGTGATTTCTCTATTCCAAATAGGTATTGGTAGCCAATTCATTCTAATAAAACATCACATATTTTGACAGTTCAATTCAAGCCTTGACCATTTATTAATACAATTTATACAGGTTTTGTCAAAATAATCACACTGTTATATTCATATTCCAAAGTACTTTCTCATGAACACGATTTTGTAAATGCAAGCAAACTAATGCCAGGGAAATATAGGGTCAGCTCGATTTTCTATATTTGATATGTGTCTTATAGAAAAAAAAACAGAACGAGTATGTATTATCAATGTAAAAAAAAGGCAATAAAATTACAGGATTACCTTAGTGATTTTACATGTGCAAGCAAAATAATAATGTTAGGGAAATTTAGGGTCAGAGCTCAACTTTTCCATATTTGAATTGCATCTTACAAAAAAAAAAACCGAACTAGTATTTACTGTCAACATGAAAAATTAGCAATACAAATACAGTATTTACCTTGGTGATTTTACACGTGGAACGTATGAGGAACTTGCAATCAAGTGTGCCTGTCCAATTAACCAGATCCCCACAAGTAGCCAGTAATGCGCCTGATTCAAAGCAACGGCCTACAGCTGCTACCTCAAAATGGTCGATAAAATTAGGCACAGTATTTAATGGACGATGATCACGGTAATCCTTGACACTGACTAGAGCAACATTATAATGTAGATTATAATGTTGTAATGTTCCTTCTGTGCGTTTGTTGTTTGGAAGCAACACTTCAATCTGCAAATAATACAGCGATGAGACTAAAGCACCACCTAAGAACTGGAATCACAACAATGAGTAACACCAACCTTAAAATTTTCAACAATCTTGTTGTCATCATTAGAATTTCTAACCAAGCTTGCTGATGTCAAAATAATAGGAGATCCAATCCAATTAACAAAAAAACCTGTGCATGCAAAAAACCTTTTTCCTCCTGCATTGGCTCCAGTTATTAGCTGCTAGTTGTAATCAAAACAGAGATGAAATAGAAAATGGCGCATCAAGGTAAATCACCAGTGAATGAAGCCAGTGCAACAATATTGCGTCTTATGTTAGAACAAGCTCCGTTGTTGAATTTTTTCCAGACACCTTCATCATATGTGTGGCCAAAAGTATCTTCAAACGTATTAACTCGAATCATGCCAGCTGGAGAAATACACATTGTAGAATAGTTGTTAGTGGTATAGGAGAGCTGTTAAAGGTCAGAAAATTTAGAAGCACTGACTCACCTCCTAACATGGTTGATGGTAACTTAGGGTAACCATTGGAGTCTAGATCTAAAGACAGGTCCTTGTTGAAATAATAATGTCCTTGTACTGGTGCAACAAGGTCAAGTGGTCAGCACTAACATATACTAATAAAATACACAGAAAGTAAATTCACATAAATTCTACACATAACGATCAGCATGTAACATTAACAGTATTGTATGATAACTGCTTGAGCAACAATTAACATTAGAACTTTAGAAGTATACACAGTAAGTAAATTCACATAAATTCTACACATAATGATCAGCATGTAATATAAACGATATTATATGGTAACAGCCTGAGCAACAATTAACATTAGAAATCAGCATGAATGTAGTGTGTAGCGTGAATGTAGTGTACATGTTAACTAATAATAAGCACTAGCAATATGAGTACAAGTGAAAGGCCCAGACTAATAGTTGAAATAAAATGTAAATGCTAAACTTGCACAGCTTTGAAATAGGTACCATTACAAACTGCGACAATCAGCATCCATTCTCAAGGAGTACCTGTGTGCGGATAGGTGATAGATTTCTCACCTAGGGGTCTTGCTCCAAACCTGCAGAACATGACTAGATCACCACTAACCCAAAAGTGAAATGGATCAAACCAGTGCAATAATATGCAAAATGGCACCAAAACAAGCATGAGTAGAAATTGGATGCAGACATGGAACAAGATAGAGAAATGAGGTTCCGAAATCCTGTGGAAAATCTTTCATTAAAACATGATCATAATGCTCTCTAGTGTGCACATTCAAATAAGACAAACATGCAGTTTTCCACATTTGCACAAGAAATATGACTAATCTAGTACAGGACAACTGTGAATCTGTGATACATGCTAAAGGTCGGCAAATATTTTGGTTAAAGTGGCAAATTAAAAGTATAAACATTGAGAAACTGCGAAGCACGGGTGCCAAATAGGCAAGGAAGAACAGCTAATGGTCCAGATTATTGTATATATATGTTGTCTAGCACGCATAAGCTCTTTTATGAGAAGAGCGGTACAATAGAGAAGATAGACATACCTGTAAACCTTCAAACATTTTGACTGTGCAAGACCATCCTTCTTTTGCTGGGATCTTGAGTAACGCTCCAGATGCTTGAGAATTATGTCCCATGGTCGGAAAATGGCTCTTCTCTTAGTCAGAAAAAGGTTCATGCCAACAACGTGATCAACAAAAAGGAGTGGCCTGCCTTCCCAAACCTAATAACACAAAAAAGGTTACATGCAACAAGGGTTACAATTGAACAAAATGAAGTTGTATTGAACAAGAGTTAAAGAAAAAATGAAGAGATCAGCATTATGGCCTCTACGCATAAAAGAAATAGAATAATATGCAAGTGTACCTCTGAGGTTTTACAGTGAAGATCTTCATCATCCTCAGATATCCCTTCACTATTCAATTCCACGCTCTTGGCCATTATTTTACCAGAGACGTGACGCCCTACAGCTACTGCAACCTTACCATGGGGCAGAGTTTCCAGTGCACGTTGAAACGGTCCAAACTGAACATCATCGAAGCCAGAGACAGCAACAACAGCAAAGTTGCGATGTAAATCAAATTCAGCCAGACACCCCATACATACTTCATCACCTTCATGGCGCACTTCAATCTACAATACGATAAGGCAAGAAATAAGTGTACAATGATCAAGTAAAAATGATTAAAGGATGATGATTGTCGGCTCCAACTTTTAAGTCATCAGAGTCTTTGTTTGTATCATTCATAGCTCTAACCAAACCTGCAGTAGTCAGAAACCTGAGGTTGTACCCCTGGCGTTCCATAGCTATGCCCGAGCATGAAAATAAGATTGTGTCTCCTACAGAAGATTGCAATTTAAATCATTTATAATTGGTGGTGTTTCAATATATATTTGTTGGGAAATTGAGAAGACTAGCAGCATATATAATCACCATCGCACAAAGCAATCGAGGCGACACTTTTAGACAAATATGATTTTACAACATCATTGAGCCCATCCCAAACATCTTGAGTTGAGTCCGCAGGGAAGCGACCTAGTTGAAGGTGAAAAAGATTAAGCCAGCTGTGAATAATGAAATAGCGATGTCGAACACTGTGTGTGTGTGTTGGGGGGGTGCTAGCAGGAAAAAAGTTCTAGCAGACCTGAAACCCACTCAATCTTGCAAGCTCTTTTGTTCCCATGAATGGTTCTAGTGAGATCATCCCTGCCTCTCTTACCTTTCCGCATCTTTCCCAAGACTGAAGCGGAACTTTCTTTTCTAATCTAAATAAAAAAAAGAGGCAAAATGTTAGGTCATAAGCATATAAAACTATAACCGAGCAAGTAATCAGAAATGCTAATAATGGCCTCAAGTCAGGCTGCTGGTCCTTGACATAAACTTGAAATACCAACAATTACAATTTTGGTTCAGTCCCCATAGAAGGTGGCCAAATAGCATCATTTCTTAGCTCAACTATCAACAATAGCATGGAGTGCTGACATGAAAAGGTCTGTGCACTGCTACAACTGATGTCTCAAAAGTATCTACCAGCTAGCTGCTACCAATTCCTTAGGTTGTGTCGAAAAGTATTTATGTATGATATTATCTTTGGAGCAAAAGCGTTACCACAAACACAACTGAAAGAAAAGAGCTCACTTAAGGCACCTCTGGTGTACCAGGGTATCTTTTACGCTGGTTGTAATATGACTTGTATGAAGGCAGTCAAACCTAAGCTTTACCTTCCATTAGACTACATGTAATATATTCTTTCCTACTACTTAGTTTAAAACTGGCATACAAAAGCACCATTGGAGTCAAGCAGACATATAGGTAGCCGCACAATGAAAAAATAAAATACTCACGTTTTAGATTTCTAGTCCGTTTGGCAATGCAAACATGTAGGGTTCTGTAACAGAAAAGGAAGGGGTGGGGAGGGGGACAATGGAGCCTAGTGAGAAAGAAGGTCATTCCTCTTAATATGCTGCACTGAAACAAGCTCTTGATAAGTCAAAAAAAGGATAATTATTGGAACTAATCCAAAAATGCACAAGGGTCAAGGGTATTGATGTGCTGCTGCTACTCTGGTAGCACTACGTGTATCGGAATAGAAATCAAATTAGATTATTTAAGCGTTGTTCTAAACAAATATTGTACAGACATTGTTGGAAGAAGTCTACCCGCTGAAGTAAAGTTCCAATTAGATGGACGCATGTAAACGGTAGGATGCACCAAGAACAAAAATCACTCCCCATACCATAAAACGTGGGGCACAAAACTGGGACTTCTGTGTTCTCTCTCCTGCTGCAAGAATTTTTGCGCTAGATCTAGGGTTAGGTGCCTGAAGTCACACAAGACTACACGAGGGAGGAAAGGATGATGAGGGCGATGCACGTACCTCGTGTCCGCCCTTAGAAGGAGCGGTGCAGATCACGGCGGCACGGCAAACCCTAGCAGGATCGCCCTGCCGTCGCTCTCCTGGAGAGAAAGAGGACGGGGAAGAGGGGACGATTGTGGGGAGTGAGGGAGGAGACGCATCCGAAGTACGGACGACCCGTCCCTTGCTTTGCGGCAGGCGGCGCAAGGGCACTGTGGAACATGATCAGCCTGATCGGCTGGGAGCGGCTAGCTGGGCTGGCTGGCCAGCCCTCTCACATAAACACTGTTGACGCGAACGTCGTCCATGGGCTGAAATTTGGATCTTGTACCGGGTCCACCTGTCATTGAAACAATGGCAGAAAAAACATGGGAGACAAAAAAAGAAATCGGTGTACAGGACACCAATACTGATCCGGAGAGGGGGAGGCGGGCGACAGAAAAAAACATGGCAGAAGGAAATTTTGGCGTTTTATTATTAGGGATAGATTTAAGTTGTTCTTGGCCCAACAAAATAATTCTGAACTTTTCCAAAACATATTTTAATCTATATGATTTTCTAAAAATATATTTTTGAAAATCATAATACAAGCTAACAGCCAATGATTTCATAGAGTGATTTTGTTCGACACCTAAAATGTTTCCTAAGAGAATTTTGATCTAAAATATTTTTCTATACCAAACACACCTACATAAGGATGGCAACGGGTATATACCTGTCGGGTATCGCCGGAACGTTCTCTTCCCCGCTACGGAGAATTTATCCCGTCCCCATCCCCATTAACTGTCTCGGGTATAGATTCTTGCCCATCCCCGTACCCGTCGGGTAACAGATACCCGACGGGTACTACATACCCGATAAACAACGACACTTGGGGTCGCAGCTTTGCAATCGGAGACGTTTCTTCTTCACCCGGGTATAAGTGTCGGAGTCTCGGAGATGCCGAGAAGGAGCGAGGTTGCGAGGAGGACGAGCAAAGGTGGCAGAGAGACCGAACTGAGGAAGTGAGAGGCACGAGCGCTCGTAAGACAGGCGTGCTTGTGCTGCTGACGGAGATGGTGAGGAAAAATTGAACGAGGGTTCCTAGAACACACAAACTATATATATGACTGTTCAGATTTGGACCAAAATACCTATGTTGAGCTTCTTTGGGCCTAATACTCTCATGATAGCTCAAATAGTCGGGTTCCCCAACGGGTAACGGGGACGGGTAAACAGGGAACGTTCCCGTACCCGCTATACCCGTCGGGTATGGATTCTTGCCCATTTAGATGCCCGCGGGTAAAGATATGATCCTATCCCCGTCCCCTAATGGATCAAATACCCGTCGGGTATCGGGTATCGGGTCCCCGTTGCCATCTTTACACCTACACATATTGTTGCATCACGTTTGGTTGGGTAATTGGAAAGAGGAAGTGAGGCGTCAGTTAAAAAAAGGCTTCGTTTAGAATATGAGGATCTGTTTTATGTTCCTATGTTTTTTCTATAAAATTAAATTGATTCTTGTCAAATTTTTGTACTATTCCTAAATAATTTATGCATTCCAAAATGGCTTTTAGGAGAACTTGTGTGTTTTATGGGAGTATAAGAGTTTTGGTGGGAAGATGAATTAGAGTTTAGAGGATGAATATCCACTAATCAATTAGCATGGGGTAGGTGTTAATTGAGTGAAGATGAATGTAACCTTACCGTTGGTTATGATTTGTGATATAAGTTCTCACTCATCCACCAAAGAGGGGATATGGATTTATTTTGGGCCAATTGCATTACTGTTCTCGTTTTGAACTCTAGTCGCACGTTTGACTCTGTTTTTTTTAACTTTACAGATTTGCCCCTATTTTTTGAATTTGAAGCTTTCAGCTGCCGTTAAGGAGATTTAACGGTGTTAAGTGAAGGCTGAAAAGACACAAATGACCTTCGCATGAATGACCCAATAATCAATATGATTTTTTACGTACATAATTATTATGGATATATTTTGGACAAATGACATCATGTATTTTGTTTAAATTTCGAAATGTAATAATATATTCAGCAAGCATGACATGATATCCAGATCATATATAAGCGGAATATTTGCATCATCATGCTAGATTTCTCATGTTCACACAACTCACGACTAAAAGTGCACCGAAATTAAGGCACTACTACGTGCCAGTATCATGTTCCACAGTGCCCCTGCGCCGCCTGCCGCAAAGCAAGGGACGGGTCGTCCGTACTTCGGATGCGTCTCCTCCCTCACTCCCCACAATCGTCCCCTCTTCCCCGTCCTCTTTCTCTCCAGGAGAGCGACGGCAGGGCGATCCTGCTAGGGTTTGCCGTGCCGCCGTGATCTGCACCGCTCCTTCTAAGGGCGGACACGAGGTACGTGCATCGCCCTCATCATCCTTTCCTCCCTCGTGTAGTCTTGTGTGACTTCAGGCACCTAACCCTAGATCTAGCGCAAAAATTCTTGCGGCAGGAGAGAGAACACAGAAGTCCCAGTTTTGTGCCCCACGTTTTATGGTATGGGGAGTGATTTTTGTTCTTGGTGCATCCTACCGTTTACATGCGTCCATCTAATTGGAACTTTACTTCAGCGGGTAGACTTCTTCCAACAATGTCTGTACAATATTTGTTTAGAACAACGCTTAAATAATCTAATTTGATTTCTATTCGATACACGAAGTGCTACCAGAGTATGTGAGACATCAATACCCTTGACCCTTGTGCATTTTTGGATTAGTTCCAATAATTATCCTTTTTTTACTTATCAAGAGCTTGTTTCAAAGTCAAAGCATATTAAGAGGAATGACCTTCTTTCTCACTAGGCTCCATTGTCCCCCCCCCACCCCTTCCTTTTCATTACTGAGAACCCTACATGTTTGCATTGCCAAACGGACTAGAAATCTAAAACGTGAGTATTTTATTTTTTTCATTGTGCGGCTACCTATACGTCCTTGACTCCAATGGTGCTTTTGTATGCCGGTTTTAAACTAAGTAGTAGGAAAGAATATATTACATGTAGTCTAATGGAAGGTAAAGCTTAGGTTTGACCGCCTTCATACAAGTCATATTACAACCAACAGAAAAGATACCTGGTACACCAGAGGTGCCTTAAGTGAGCTCTTTTCTTTCAGTTGTGTTTGTGGTAACGCTTTTGCTCCAAAGATAATATCATACATAAATACTTTTCGACACAACCTAAGGAATTGGTAGCAGCTAGCTGGTAGATACTTTTGAGACATCAGTTGTAGCAGTGCACAGGCCTTTTCATGTCAGCACTCCATGCTATTGTTGATAGTTGAGCTAAGAAATGATGCTATTTGGCCACCTTCTATGGGGACTGAACCAAAATTGTAATTGTTGGTATTTCAAGTTTATGTCAAGGACCAGCAGCCTGACTTGAGGCCATTATTAGAAAGTTGATCATGTACTTCTTGCCCTCCATGGCTAGGCTGCTCATTATTTCCTGAGATCGGGTTGCACTATCTGTTGTATGCTTCATTTTGTGCTTTGTTCTAATAGATGCTAGGAATAAAGTGCGACTTAGATACGTGTGAAAGTATAAGAAAACAAAAAGCTCAAAAAAGAGTAGTAGTGGTGGTGGTGGAGGCCTTAGAAACATGTCAACCATCATTTGATCAAAAACTTGGAGCATCAAGGCAGCATAACAGAGAAGAGAGGATAAGGTAATGTAGGGGCGGCTGGTAATGATGCCAAGTTCCTCACAAGTTCTTGATCATCAGCTCATATTCCATATAAGGTATGGACTTGGACAAATTCATCATCGGCAAAACAAAGAAGAGGAGGGGAGAGGAGAGGAGAGGGGAGAGTTGAAAAAAAAAAGCTAAGCTGCCTTGGTCTTAGACAACTTCACCATCAGCAAAACAA